AGATCTGCATCGCGAACAAACCTGGTTTCGTCAACCGCACCAAGCACATTGCGCTGCGGTATTTCTTCGTGAAGGACGAGGTGGACAAGGGCAAGGTCAATTTGACCTATTGCCCGACCGGTGATACCGTATTACCCCGGATAAAAGCGCAGGTGCGCTTATAATAAATCAGTGTTTTTTAGGGGGGTGCGCTTATAAATGAGTCAAAATTATAAGCGCATGCGCTTATAACATGACAAATATATAATTACAATTTTAAGACACCAAACTGTATATCTTGTGCCCGCCATTTCAATCGAGTCAATTTTACATAGGGTTGTGAGTGAAATTTTCGCGCGCACTGGCAAATACATTCGGTGTGACTCACAGGGTGCTCCTGACAGCTCAAGCTGACTGGACTCGCAGCCTGTGCAGGGTTCGAACTTGACATAACCGAATTTGAAAAGTATCAGCTTCCTAATGTGAAAATCGTTACAGTATTTTGACACGTTTTAAATTTTAAAATTAGGATGCGCTTCTAATAAATCAAGGTTTTACAGGGGGTGCGCTTATAATTGAGGATCGGCCATAAGCGCATTGCTCCAGATAGAAGCGCATGCGCTTAACATGGGCATGCGGTTATATCCGGGGCTATATGGTATGGCAGCAGACTTCCTCACCAAGCGACTGTCACGCAAGCAGTACCAGCACTGCTCCGAACTCAGCGGCGTGGTCAAGCAGGTCAAGTCAAGCTACGGCCAGGAGTGAAGGGGGGTGTTACGAAAAGTAATATTTGATTATTACTGTGCACTCCTCACCGCAGCAAAGAGAAGCATGCAGTATCGAGAAAGAACACGAAGAGTCAGAATTGACTCGAAGCGTCAGACGGTTAAGGCGCATCTGGATCGTCGGAACAGTTTTCGTAACTGTACGCGTCGCACTGTTGGGAATGAATTTGAATAAGGGAATGTTGTTAAAATAGTAGCTAGAGAGAGTCTTGGGGTTTGGTGGGAGAGAGTGTTGGCCAAGCAAAGAAGGGGGGTTCACTATAGGCTCGAGGGTACAAATAGGAGACAAAGGAGGTGCACCACCAATACAAAGAGTTTATAACTACACTAAAGCTACAGCTACAGGCAGGTACATAAATATATATAAATATATATTCTAACACTCCCCCATAACTGCCTGCAGCAGGAGCTTGTGCAGCAACAACTCCTGGATGGGTACACCACGAACAGAGAAAGCAGCAACAGGAGGCAAGTGCAATGACAACCAGTGCAGTGGTGGCAGAGACAGCTGCAGCAAGCCCTGAGGCAAGAAAGAGAGAACGAAGACGATGTGCTGTGGCGCGCTTAGTTTGCAGCTCAACAGCAAAGAAGACGAACGAAGACGATGTGCTGTGGCGCGCTTAGTTTGCAGCTCAACAGCAAAGAAGACGAACGAAGAGAGAGAAGCGTCAGGGGCTGCAGAAGTAGGTGCCACATAGCAGTGGACGGCAGCTGCAGATGCGTGGCTACTGGTTCCACCACTCTCTCTTACCCTCCCTTAGCATCTCTCCCCCCCCCCCCCCTCTCCCCGACAGCAACAAGTGCTGCAGGGAGAGAGTAAGAGGGAAGGAGAGTGGGGGAGGGACGAGCTACTGGTGGTTCACACCCTCCGCCCCCAGAACTCCCGTCCCCCCCCCCCACGGCGGGAGCCGCGGAAGGGAAGGGCGGGGGGGGGGGGGGGGGGGGGGGGGGGGGGGGGGGGGGGGGGGGGGGGGGGGGGGGGCATACGGAGCTGCCGGCGCCGGCGTCCCCTGCTGGCGCAAGCGCTGGCGTGCGTGGATGGCGCAGGCGCTGGCGCCTCGCGGCTGGCGCAGCGCTGGCGCTTCGCGGCTTGCGCACGCGCTGGCGCTGCGTTCCGCACTGGCGCTGGCCGCGAAGTGCTGGTGCAGGTGCGGGCGTTGGCGCGGACGACGGGCAGGGCGACGCGGGCAGAGTAGGGCGCATCGGGGCGCGACGAACTGGAGGGCGCACGGGGCGCGACGAACAGGCAGAGCAGGGCGCAGCGGGGCGCGACGAACGGGAGGGCGTACGGGGCGCGACTCGGGTGACCCACGGGGCGCCGAAACGTGGGGCCGCGGGCGACGGGAAGGAGGGCGCACGGGGCGCGACGAGTATGCCTTCGGAGCGCGAATCGAGTGGGGCCTGCAGAGAGCGAAACGCGGGACCCATGATCCTAAAAAAAAATAGGTCCTTAGGACCGATTATTGCTTTGTACCATGTCAGAATAGTAGCTAGAGAGAGTCTTGGGGTTTGGTGGGAGAGAGTGTTGGCCAAGCAAAGAAGGGGGGTTCACTATAGGCTCGAGGGTACAAATAGGAGACAAAGGAGGTGCACCACCAATACAAAGAGTTTATAACTACACTAAAGCTACAGCTACAGGCAGGTACATAAATATATATAAATATATATTCTAACAAATGTACCCCTTAGAGTACATGGCTAGCTAGGTCGTTTCGTCTTCCCTGTACTCATATTTATATTTGCTGTATTTGCATGTTTTAATCATCTCAAGCATTTTACATTCACTCTGCTATTGAGGTCAAGGGCCCACCAACATTACTTCTCTGCGTGCGAACCTTCCTGAGTAGATCCTGGCAGCGATCATCGTTTGATCGCAGCAGTTTGGAACAATTGAAATCGCTGGAACCGGTTTGGGATGTTGGTGGTCTTGTCACCAAAGTAGTATGCATGACTGTTTGTACATAAAATTTCATACAAAGCGTGACGCATGAAAAGATATGTGACGTGTGGCATACTCGTACATGAGTAGTTTCAGGAAGATTTCATCGTCATGGATGGTGCCATTCGAGGAATAAGGTGAAATCAATTTGCTAAAGCTGAAGCTCACTTCGTTGATTGAAACATAACCATTATCATTGAAGTATATCAGGTGAGTAATATCTATTGAAGTATAACATGTATCTCATTTAGTTTCTGAAGCTGCAACCAGATCGCGCAAGTGTGACACAAGCGCTGGCTATCGAAAAATATCATCAAGGTCGTATTTACTGTCACAAGAGTTCCGCCTACCCTCCCCAGTTGAGAGAGCGATCTGGCGTTCTACACACGAATGTGATTTTACAGTCCAGCAGCCTTGTGCGATTGCGAAGGAGCGGACGACGCTTGGGTGGTGCTAGGGTCGAAAGTACAACTGACTTTCCAGCACCTCGACGACACCACCACCACCTCAGCTGCGAGAAGCGACCAGTTTGACGTGTGACGTGGGTGTTGGAGTCGTCAATGCGCACATGACGAACTTTGTGCGACGCGACTCTGCCAAATATGTGAAAGCTGGGCGATGATTCTGAGACAGGCGATCATGTCGAACCGCATTCACGAGGCTTATTGAACAGTTGTTACCGAACCGCGTATCCTCTGAGAACACATCCGAAGAATTCTTGACACTGTTCGGACACGGTTCCATCTGCGCTTCGCCCATTTTTGGGCAGCGAGTTGCTGTGCCACTTTCGCACAGTTTGTCGCGATGATCCAAGCGCTCGCCTCGGCTTTCCTGCGGATCGATGGATTTCTAACGATGCATCGTGGACCCCAAAGCAGTCGTGCAGGAATTTGTGAATGGCCATATTGCTGGCGAGCAAGAGGCGAGGAAGAGGCGAGCAATGCAAATCGCTCTCACGTGCGACTCCGTCGCAAATGTTACAGTTTCATCTCGGGGCGGCATGTGTTTCTGCTTGGATTTGAGTTGAGCCCCCCGAGCCAGTAACGCGCGACGCCGTCGTTCATTTGAAACGAAGCGCTTGCTCAGCGATTCGCTTGTTTGGCCTTGCGATTCGGATCTGGCACGTCGTCTATGCGATGAAACCACTGCGTGTCAACTCGAATGCCAAAGAGCTCCTGTGTAATCCGTCGTACGAACCTCCTGGCTGGCAATCATGAAGAGCTAAGATGAGACCCACCCTCGTACGCCTTTTCGCAGGATTGAGGGGAGATCTTCGCAATCTTCCCATACAGTTCGCCTCGCTCCGTCTCGCTCCGTTTCGGCAATGCCCCGCCACTGTATCCGCCGCCGCGATGAGCGGAATTGGGCGGTACGGCTGTGACCACATCTCGGGGTTCCTCCCTCCCGTTGCGTGGGTGGCGGAATACAGTACAGTACAGCAGTGTGCAATCCATAGAGTCATTCACACGCTACTGTAGTGCGAAGCGCCTGCCTAAACCAGAGGTGTGGTTGAGGTGACGCGAGCGGGGTGACCTGGATGAGCAAGGCAGGACTTGAGAAACATTCACGTCACTGCTTGCCCCATACCTTGCTTTGCTCTCACCTCGGTTGACATGGCATGAGCCGCAGCGCAGCATACTAGCCCCGGATCGCGAGGCATGTCCATCGGAGCGCAGCACGATACGTAGCAAATTACAGTCTCCCAAAAGCAAAGCAGCCGCCGTGGTGGTGTAGTGTAGATAGGTGGATGCGAAAGCAGTTGGATAGCGAACACTGCAAATCGCTTCGCCCCTGGTTCCCTTCGTTAGCCTAGTCCGTCGCTGTCGCGCCTTCAAACCGAGCTCGCATACGCGGCCACCAGGAGCGACGGCCGTGAAATTAAATCGCGCCGCGTTATCCCTCGCCCGTTCAAATTGCAGCTCCCGAATTCAGCACCCGTCTTAGCTGCACAATATCAATCGACAGTTCGTCAAATAAAAGCCAGGAGCTCCTCGCTCATTTGAGACTTGCATTCATAAGACGGTGTTTCTCGCAATCACGATATTTCCAAGCAGACTTCGAGACACTTTTGCGGCTTCTAGACAGAACAGCGTGCAGTATTCTACGAGAGCGTGTGAAGTAACGAGCATACGTCATTAGCGCAATATTTGCATAATAGGACGCAGCATCAGCTTGAGAAATCACCATTGGCATCATCGCGCTCAGTACGGAAAGAGCTACGCAGGTCGATTGTTTACGCTATGGCAAAGTCCGTCCTATCTACGCAGAGCTACTCGTCGGAAAGCGCAGCAGTCATGGCGAGAGCTGCTTTCGTCGATCCTTTCGCACCAGTAACCCGTAAAGCAGTTTCAGGACCGCTTGCTCCGCTGCAACAGCAACAGCAGCAACGGTTGTCGGTCTCAGGCCCGTTGTTCCAGGATTCTAGACTCGCTGGTCCCTCGTATAGCGACGCGGCGCAACACGAGCAGCAACTGCAACAGCTCGCGGGTCCTACGTCTTCCTTCGCTACAACGCCGCTCGCGGAGATTTGGTGGGGGATTGCCCCATCTTCTGATGCCATGGCGGTGGCGGAAGCAGTATGGGGTGCGCATCACCATGCAACACTTGCGCCTCATCCCGCATCCCCCTCCTTGGCCTCTCCCTCTAACGCTCCGATTGAAGCCACGGGCGCGGCCGGGGGGTGCTGGGAGTGGGCCGAAGCGGGGGCGATGGCGGCGGCGGCAGACGAAGAGGAGGTGTCTTCTACATACCGAGGGGACGGCTCTTGCCCGAACACCCCTGGGTGTAACGGCGAGTATCCCGCTTGTGCCGGTGCTATCGCAGGCGGTTTCGACTGCGGTGCCATCAGTCCGACGGTGTCGCTGCCTGCATCTGGTTTTCGCGACGCTTCGCTTAGAGCGGCGAAGTGCACGTGTGGTGGCGAGGGATACAATCGCGCGATGTGTCTGTGTGCGATGGGCGTGCCGCATCTCGCGGTGCCGCAAGGGTTTGATGTGGAGGGGTGGACGACGAGCTGCGATAGCGACATGGACGGCGACGTCGCTAGCGTCGCAGACGACGAGGAGGGAAGCTGGGGGGAGAGTGAGTGCGGACCTAGCGCGGAAGCTCCATCTGTTGGTGGTGATAGCTGGTGGTTAGGATCTAGCACAGATTGCGGGAGCAGCGCGTGTGGCGGCGGCTCATGCGCTGTAGCCTGCTAAGGAGAAGCCCTTCCAAATAAAAGAGTTGAAGTCAGAAAGAGGCAAGCGGCGATGGCTCCAGCCAAGCACTGTCGCTCGTTCGCTTCTTCCTTGTTTCGCAAGGATAATGTTTCAGTCTCCACAAGTCGCTGGCACACATCGTTTCAGCGCTCGTAGCGGATTCGTCGTTGAAGGATTCGAGCCGTGGTTGATGATAGCAAGCAGAAGATCTGCTCATGAGGTCTCTGGATCAGACCTCCGCATACGCAGCAGGACTCCAATGGTTCATTGCAGTCCTTGAATTCGTATATGCTTGAAGGTGGCTTTTCTGCATGCTTGTTGTACTTCTCAAAGAAGAGTAAATCGGTCTTATACTGCTGAATGTTCAGATTTTCCTTCTCATGCAGTGACAAAGGGAGCTCATGTTAGTTAGGTTTTCATTTACACACTGGAATATTTGGTGCGTACGCTTATGCAATCCAATCACACCCACGAAATTCGTCCAAGCCTTGGTGCCTGGATCATCATCACTCTACCCTAGCCCTTAAAAATCCTGCATAGACTGCAGCATCTTTTCCACGTAACCACGCTTTCCTTTCCCCCACCCAACTTAGCCATTTACATCGATCCAGTGAATCCTTGTGTTTTCAAGTTTTTACCTGTTTGTGCTTTTGGCCTGGCTCAACCACTTTTCACCAGCAGCAAAGGCCATTAATGTCGTGACTTTTTTAGAGTAGGCGAAAATAGAAACGCTTGATTTGCACTTGCAACGAAACAGAACACTGTAAAGCAAAAATTCAGAGTGCGTGAGCGAACCATGTGAGTCATCACAGACCAACCCCTGCCAGTTGCTGCTGTGTCTTCCATCTCCTTGATTCTGAACTAGAGACTGGAACCAACTCCTCTCTAACCCCTAATCTCTTCAAGTACGTTCTTACCTGACCGTGTCCGGGAGACACCGCAAACCATGGCCGGCAAACGCGCCGGGCGCGGGTCCCGCTACATGCGCCGCGACTTTAAGAAGAACCGCCCCAACGAGTGGATCCGACCGCGCCGCGACGAGCGGTCCGGGCAACCCGGCGCGGAAGGCGGCGAGGCTGGCGGTGCGAGCGGCGGTCCGTGGAAGGCGTTTGTTCTGGAAAATGAAGCGTTCGAGTCGTATTACAAGGTGATTGGCTGGCGGATTGGCTGGCGAATTGGATCGCCGTTTGGATCCGCGATTCTGGTTCTCAAATGTTAAGGGGTGAACGTGCTTTTCGCGGTTACGGGGTTTTCGTGCGCGCGCGCGTGCGTGTGTGCGCTGGGTGGTCGTAGACAAGGATCGCACTTTCGAGAGCAGCCAGTGACCTAACGATCTCCTCGTCACTGTCGCCTCGTCGCTGTCGCCTCGTCGCTGTCGCCTTGTCGCTGTCGCCTCGTCGCTGTCGCTTCGTCGCTGTCGCCTCGTCGCTGACAACTGGAAAGCTCAAATTATTTGTAACGATCGATCGTTACATCTGGCGATTTTGCCGTTTCCAGCGGTGGAGCGTGGAATACGAGCCTAGAGATTTTTTTTTGCTTCAGCCGCGTGCGCTCAGTGATTGGCATTTCCTGTTTCTCAATTAGATCGCGCAACGTCGTCGGGCACGGCGTCGCAGGGCACAAGCGCCGTCGAATCCCCACTCATCCCTTTCTGACGCGGCTCAAAAACGCACCGCCGATCGCTTACGAGCGCGTCTTCGGATTTCTCTCGCGTCGCTGTCTCGCGGGGGTTGAGTAGGGTGGGTGCCTTTAGAATGGGTGCAAGGTAGGATGGATCAACTTAAATGTCAGGCCACCTTCATTTCGCCATCAAAGCCCCGAGTTTCGTCGCTAATCAACGCGGTGATGGTCGGCCAGGCTGGCTCTCGAGCTTTTACTTTCTCTGCGCGTCGGTCCTGCCCTTCTTGCCTGGCCTAAACCCCTTATGTCCCCGAAACCCGACCCGGACCCAACCTCCCCCTTCCCCCCTCCCGCCCCTCTCTGCTCCACTGCATGCGATGGCGATGGCGACTGCGACTGCAACTGCGACGGTGATGGCGGTGACGGCGGCGGTGGCAACGGTTTCCGCAAGCAGAAGCAGCGGCTGCTGCCGGAGGCCGAATGGGATGCATTCGTGGCCAGCATGCGCCAGCCGCTGCCCACAACCTTCCGCATTAACGCCAAGTGAGTCCGCCCCTCTCCCGTGCTGTGCCCTGCAACATGCTGCTGGGTAAAGGTCTAGGGTTTTATGACGGTTCTACCCTCACCTACTTTGTGATGGTAGAGCGTGGAGGAGACAGTTGCGGGTACAGAAGTAGGAATAGGCAGAGCTCCCCGGTGCTGGCATGCCCACTCAAATGCACTAGGCCAAGTGTGAGAGGCGGTCGAGTGTATTAGGTACAGTGCATTTAGGCAAAGTGTCAGAAACGCACTGCACCATCTCCTCTCGCTGCACGATCAACTCTTGCTTGTTTCCCCCACTCATCTCTCACTCCCCCCCCCAATCCCGTTTCTCTCATAAAACCCCCAAAACTCACCCGCTTTTTCTCCCTCTGTAACTCGTTTTCTCTCTTATGTGGTCCCCTACGCGTCCTTTCCCGTTCGTGTGTGTGCGTGCAGTGGTCCGTTTGCAATGCATATCCGAGATGAGATGGAGAGGCATGTGGCCGAGTCGTTCAGCCAGCCGTTAGAGGTACGCATATGTACTGTGCTCCTGCTCCTGCTCCTGCTGCTGCTGCTGCTGCCGCCGCTGCCGCCGCCGCCGCCGCCGCCATGACCATAGGTGCTTTGCAGGGACCTGCCGCTCTGCTCTGCAGGGTCTTGGTTATCAGAGCACCGCACACACTCTGACCCACACACACACACACGCACCCGGTTACCACCGCACTTGTAGGGCACCGCCTGTGCGCGCATCCCTCAGTGCTTCTCTCACACGTCCACCTACACACTCACCTCTTTCCTCGTTCCCCACTCCCCCCCCTGCCCCCCCACCCCCACACGTTCAAGAACCTCCACCACCGTCTCTGCTTCCCTGTTTTTACCAACCATCTCTGCTCTTCTTCCCTTCCTTCCCCTCCCCTTCCGTCCTGTCCCGTCCCCTTCTCTCGCCTCCCATCCCGTTCCGTCCCCTCCCCCTTCCTGCTGTCCCCTCCCCCTTCCTGCTGTCCCCTCCCCCTTCCTGCTGTCCCCTCTTCTCACCTCCCCTCACCGTACCATTCCCCCCTCTCCCCTTCTCCTTTAACCCCCCGCCCTCCCATCCCTATCCAGGTGGAGGGCGAGCGCGTGGAGGCGCCACGAGTGCTGCCGTGGTACCCGGACCGGCTGGGAAGGCTGGGAAGGTTGGGATATTGTCGTTTCTCAACTCTTTCTCTCCCCCACCACACACACGGGCAGGTGGAGGGCGAGCGCGTGGAGGCGCCACGGGTGCTGCCGTGGTACCCGGACCGGCTGGGCTGGCACCTCAACATCTCCCGCCAGCAGCTGCGCACCCTGCCCCAGCTCAACAGGTGCTGTGCGGTGGGGTGCGGTGGAAGGAGTGGGGTGGGTGGAGTGGAGTAGGGTGGGGATGGGGTGGGGTGGGGTAGGGTAGAGGAGGTGGCGTCTGTGGTAGGAAATGTTTTTGACATGCCCCCGCTCCCCACCCCTTCCACCTCTTCCACCCCTTCCACCCACCCAACCACTCATTTTCATCGTTGCCTATATCGTATGCTTTATCTCCGTGTCATCTTATTATCTGTGGCTCTTTGAGATTCCCTCCCGGGAGAGAGTCTTCTTTGCACCCGTTATTATCTCATCTCAAGTCGAAGTTTCCCCTGTCGTCTGTGTGTTTTCGTACAATACATGTGCATGCGTGAGTGAATGGGTCTGTCGGTGCAATGGCACACGCATGTCTGCTGGCGTGTATGTGGTCATCTGCATGTGCATGTGGGCATGTGTATGTCCCTATGCGTGCGTGTGCATGTGCATGTGCATGTGCATGTGTATGTGCATGTGTATGTGCATGTGTGTGCGCATTCACACATGTGCATGCGAGTGAGCAGGCTGTTTGACTTCGTCAAGCGGGAGAACGAGATTGGTGCCATCACTCGCCAGGAGGCCGTCAGCATGGTATGCCAACCCAACCCAACCCAAACCAACCCACCTTCCCTTTGGTGCGTAATCAGATCAGCGTGTAGTGCGGAGTTTTTTTAGGTGCCTAGAGAATCCCATCACTCGCCAGGAGCCGGTCAGCATGGCGAGAACCCTAGAGGTATGTCAACCCAACCCTCGCTTGCGTTCCTCGCTCGATCAGCATTGTGGGACGAGTGCTCTGGGTGCTCTCTCCGCACTGGGGGTGGTGCTATGCACTTAAGGGCTGGGAAGGAAGGGCCTCTGGGTCTAGGACCTTTTCCCTTCCCGCCTAGGCTTGCCTGTGTGCCCCTTTTGGCATGGAGGTGAATGGAGGTCACGTACAGACAGTTGCATAGCACAGCAAGTTGTAATCTCCGTCTTTCATTCTGCTCGCATGCCCTCACTCTAACACCATTTTCGTTTCTTCCTTCTCTCTCCTCTCCGCTCCTCTTCCTGTTCTCGCTTCTCCTTATTCCCTCCTACTCCTCCTTGTGCTAGCTTGTTTGTCCCCCAACCCTCCTCGTCGATTCCTATCGTCTCATCAGTTTGTGTTTTCTGTGTGCCCGCTTGTGTGAGTGTGTGCATGTGTGTGTGCCTGCTTGTGCGTGTGCTTGTATGTGTGTGTGCGTGTGTGTGTGCCTGTTTGTGCGTGTGTGTGCCTGTTTGTGCGCGTTTGTTTGTGTGTGTGCGCGCGCGCATTGCAGATCCCACCACTTCTTCTGGACGTGCAACCACATCACAACGTGCTCGACAGTAAGACACTGCTCTGCTCCTCCACGCTCCTCCGTCACGCTCCTCCTCCATCCTTCTTTCCCAATTGCCGTCCTTTGCTCATCATCCCCACCTCTTCCCTCTTCCCCACCCACCCCCCCAAGCCTGCCCCCCTCCACACACCCTCGGCTTACCATTCTTTCCTCTCCTGCTATTCCTCTCCTGTTCCCCTTTTACCACATGCCTCTTTGTCTCTCCCTTCCCTCTTTCTGCACTTTCCCTCCCCTCCCTCCCTCCCTCCCTCCCTCCCTCCCTCCCTCCCTCCCTCCCTCCCTCCCTCCCTCCCTCCCTCCCTCCCTCCCTCCCTCCCTCCCTCCCTCCCTCCCTCCCTCCCTCCCTCCCTCCCTCCCTCCCTCCCTCCCTCCCTCCCTCCCTCCCTCCCGTCTTCCCTCCCTCCCTCCCTCCCTCCCTCCCTCCCTCCCTCCCTCCCTCCCTCCCTCCCTCCCGTACCTAAAAACCTCTCGATCGCTCCTTCTCCCTCTCTCCCATTCCCCGCATGGCGCCCTCCCTCCCGCCAGTGTGTGCGGCGCCAGGCTCAAAGACCTTTCAGCTGCTGGAGATGCTACACGAGGCGTGCGGGGCTGTACTAAAGACCACTTAAAACAATCCCTCAATCGCTCCTACTCCTTCCCTCCCATCCCTCTCATCCCGCCCTCCCTCGTTCTCCCCTCCCCTCCACCCCAGTGTGTGCGGCGCCGGGATCAAAGACCTTTCAGCTGCTGGAGATGCTACACGAGGGGTGCGGGCCGGCACAGCTGCCCTCGGGCATGGTGGGACCACCACAGGGGGAGGGGACATGGGGTGTGGGCGCAGGGGGGTTGGGGATGGTTTCTTAGGCGCCTAATAAGTGCTGCATGAGGGGTGCGGGCCGGCACAGCTGCCCTCGGGCATGGTGGGACCACCACAGGGGGGAAGCTGGTGCATGGGGTATGGGCGGGCGCAGGGGGCCGGGGTCGGGCGCGGGGGTATGGGGGATGCGAGCAGGGGGACGGGGTGATGGGCGCAGGGGGGTGCATTGCGCAGGTGGGTGGGTGAAGTGTTGTACAGATGGTCAGTGGGACAGTGTAAAGGAGTAGAAATGGCTTCTAGACATGTCTTGTGTTCCTGCCTTGCCCATTTCTTTCCCTTTTGAGATTCTCCCTCCCCTTCCCCCTCTTCTCCCCCCCCCCCCACCACCTTTTCTCCCCTGCTTTCAAATTCCTTCCTCTTTCCTTGCCGTTTTTTCTCCTTCCCTTCCACTTTCCCTCCCACTCCTCATCCCCTTCCTTACCTTTTTTCTTCCCTTCCTCCCCTTCTTCTTCCCTCTTCCCCTCCCCTTCCCTCCCCCTTCCTTCCCCATTCCTCCCCCTTCCCCTCCTCCCCCATCCTCTCCCTCCCGTCCCGTCAAAATCCTCCTCCCGTTTCCTCTCATCAGGTAGTGGCAAACGAGCTTGACATCAGGCGGTGTCACCTGCTGGTGCACCAGACGCAGCGCCTCTCCTCGCCCTGCATCCTCGTTACTAACCACGCCGCCCAACTCTTCCCCTCCCTCTCCATCTCCTCTGATGCTGCTGCCGCTGCTGGCCCTGCCCCCGCTGTTGCTGCTGAGGCGGGGATGGGGGGAGAGGAGAAGGGGGATAAGGCGGAGGCAGTGGGTGGTGAGATAAAGGGGAAGGAGCAGGAGGGCGGTGACGGTACGGCAGGAGAGGCGAAAGTAAAGTTGGAGGGAGAGGCGAAAGGAGAGGGGAAAGGAGAGGCGGAGGGCACAGTGAAAGGAGACGGGGAGGGCGAGGGCGAGGGGGAGCTGTTTGACCGCATTCTGTGTGACGTGCCGTGCAGTGGCGATGGCACCATGCGCAAGGCGCCCGATATCTGGAAGAAATGGTGCGTGCTGTTGGTGGTTGGTGGCTGGCTGGCTGGGGTGGTTGGGTGGGGTGGTTGGGTGCGTGGGGTGGTGGTTGGGTGGGTGGGGTGGTTGGGTGCGTGGGGTGGTGGTTGGGTGGCTGGGGTGGTGGGAGTGTGGGTGAGTGGGTGGATTGGTGGGTGGGTGGTTGGGTGGCTGTGGTGGTGGGAGTGTGTCGTGAGCGTGGGTGGAACCCTCGGGCGTTGCGTTGCGTGCACCCTCCATTCCTTCCACCTTCAGAATTCCAACCTTAGATTGTGAACCCGCCTTCTGAAACCTTCGACCCTCAACCTTTGCCCACCCAACTATCCTCGTTTTGTTCCTGCCACACACCATTTTCCCACCTTTCTTTCGCTCTCTGTCTTCTCACATCTCAACCCCCGTGTGTTCCCTTCACCGCCCCTTTCCCCCCCGCTTCCTCCCCATATCCTCCCCCTCACCCACCGTTGCCTCCCCATGTCCCCCCGCTATTGCCTCCCCATCCTCCCCCCACCCCTCCCTCCCTCCACCCACACCCCTCCCTCCTCCCCTCCCGTCCTCGCCTGGCAGGAACACGGGCAACGGCAATGGGCTGCATGCGCTGCAGATTAAAATCGCCATGAGGGGTGGGTGCTGGGATGCTCTCGTTGGGTGCTCTGGGGTGCTCTGCGGTGCTCTGGGGTGCTCTGGGGTGGTCACGTAGGGAGGAGGAGAGGGGTGCTTTGGATGTGTTTTGGGGATGCTGATGGTGAGGCAAGAGAGGGCGAGGAGAGCGGAGCAAACGGTTTCTAGTCTGTGCTTGCAGTATCGAAAGCATGCGCGGTTTCCTGCTGCGCTTCGAATGAACTGAAATATGCGTGTGCACAGATGCCGTTTTCGGTGCTGTCTTTTTGAGCCTTGAGTCGACTCAAATCAAAGGGGTCACCTAGCTTCGAATGAGCTGACATATGAGTGTGCACGGATGCCGTTTTTCGCTCTGCCTCTGCCTCTGCTCTGTGCCTCCGTTCCGTCATTGCCCTTTTCTTCTCATCCCCCTTTCGGCCTCCGTGCATTTGTATCTCCAACTCCCTGCATCCCCACCCCGCTCTTCCTCTTCCTCTCCACGTCCTCTCCCTCGCCTCCCCTTCCCTCTCTCCCTGTGTGCGTGTGCGTGTGTGTGCACGTGCCTGCCTGGCAACCATGCAGCGGTGGCGCTGCTGAGGGTGGGGGGTCGCCTGGTCTACTCCACGTGTTCACTCAACCCTCTGGAGAACGAGGCAGTCGTTGCTCAGGTCCGTCACTGCAGCTGCCCACACCACCACTCCCCCCCCCCCCCCCCCCTCCCCTCCTCTGCTGCTATTTCACCTCTCTGCCGCTGCCCACCCCTTGGCTCCTCACTGCCGGAACCCTACACTCCCATTTGTCACTCCTCTAAGCCAAGCTGCTTGTCTCTTCTCGCTCCTGCCATTGTTCTTTGCTTCTCCGCTCTTCTTCCCTTCCCCATCTGCCTCTGCTGCTCCTCACTCGCCTTCACCATCTCCCTCTTCCCCTCATATGCTCCTCCCGCGCACACATGTGGCCACTGGCCAGTGGTGCTGCTCTCACCAATTAAGCTCGCCCCTCTGCCCTCAGCACGTCCCCTCCCGCCTCTCCCCTCCCGCCTCTCCCCTCCCGCCTCTCCCCTCCCGCCTCTCCCCTCCCGCCTCTCCCCTCCCGCCTCTCCCTCCCCTCCCCTCCTCTCTCTCCGGCTCCCCTCACCTCAACTCCCACCCTCCCCCCCATGGCAGATCCTGCGCGAGTCCAAATGGTGCATGCGTCTAGTGAACTGCTCCCACATACTTCCCAACCCCAAGCGGCCCCTGTGTGCCCCTTCCTCGCTTCCCTCCCCCCCACCCCTTTCCCCCCACCCCTTTCCCCTCTTCCGCCCTGCCCCCCTCCCCCCCCATGGCAGATTCTGCGTGAGGCCAATGGCTGCATGCGTCTAATGAACTGCTCCCACATACTTCCCAACCCCAAGCGGCCCCTGTGTACCCCCTGCCTCCGCCCCTACCCTCATTCCCCCCCTCCTCTCCCCCTCACCTCACCCCTCACCTCACCCCCCACCCTGTCCTCTCCACATCAGATCCTGCGCGAGTCCCATGGGTGCATGCGTCTAATGGACTGCTCCCACGTGCTCCCCTCATCACGTCCCCTCTCTCTCCCCCCTCCCCGCCACTTCCCCCCTGCCACTTCCCCCCTGCCCTCCCCTCTGCAGATCCTGCGCGAGTCCCATGGGTGCATGCGTCTAGTGGACTGCTCCCACATGCTTCCCAACCTCGAGAGCCCATTTTGCGCACCCCTCCCTCGCTTCCCTCCCCTCCCCCCCCTCTTACCCTCTTCTGCCCTGCCCCTCCCTCTATCATCAGATCCTGCGCGAGGCCAATGGCTGCATGCGTCTAGTGGACTGCTCCCACATGCTCCCCCCAGCACGTCCCCTCTCTCTCCTCGCTCCCCCTCACTCCCCCCCTGCCCCCCCACCTCAGATCCTGCGCGAGTCCAATGGGTGCATGCGTCTAGTGGACTGCTCCAACATGCTTCCCAACCTCAAGCGCTCGCCTGGGCTCAAGTCGTGGAAGGTGGGGGGGCGAGGGAGTGGGGGTGAGGGGAAAGGAGGGGTGGGGATGGGTGGGGAGAGAGGAGGATGGGGAGAGGGTGGGTAGGGGGAAAATGGCGAGAGGGGAGCGTGGGGGGAGGGAACGTTGGAACGCATCCCTCCTTCATGCACCTCTCCGCCCTCACCCTCCTCTGACTCGCAAACTGTTCCTTCTCCTTGCGAGTAATTTGTCCTCTATATCTCCTCCTCACCGTCCTCTGACTCGCAAACTCGAACCCTCGCTCCCACCACCTCCCCTCCCGTGCAGGTGAAGGATCGCTTTGGGTGGCACGCACACTACACTCCGCGTATCGTGTACCGAGGGGCAGTCACCACTCCATCCATGTTCCCATCTGGTAAAGCACCCCCTGCTGCCGCCACCACTGCTGCTGCTGCTACTCCTGCTGCTGTTGCCCCTGATGCTGCTGCCACCGATGGTGGTGGTGCTGCTGCTGATGCTCCTGCTGATGGTTCCAAAGAGGCTGCTGCTGTTGTGGAAGAGAAGGTGTCTGGTGCGGTGGAGGGGGGTGGTAAGGAGGGGGAGGGGCAGCAGGAGAGCACAAAGGAAGTGCAGGGAGAGGGAGGGAAGGAGAAGGTGGATGAGGGAGGAGAGGGAGGGGAGGGAGGGGAGGGGAAGGAAGCAAAGGAGGGAGAGGAAGGAAAGAAAGCAGAGGGAGAGCAGGGAGAAAAACCAGAAGGGAGGCGAAGAGTGGGGAGGAGGGAGAGGAGAAATGCAGCAGTGGTGGAGCAGGAGGGGGAGGAGGATGAGGAGGCGGAGGTGTGTGAGCAGCCGGTGGAGCTGTGTTTGAGAGTGCTGCCTCACCAGCAGGACACAGGAGGGTTCTTTATTGCTGTTCTTGACAAGACTGCGCCTTACACTGGTGAGAACCGAGCATGCTAGATTCATGTTTCTTTGTTTGAAGCAGTAGTGGTGGAAGAGGAGGGGGAGGAGGACAAGATGTGCATTACACTGGTGAGTGAGAGCATGCCCGCATGGAAATCACTTTTGAGAATTCTGGACAAGAGAGGTGGCTTACGACTGTGGGTGAGGTGAGAGCTTGCATGCATGTGAACATGCTTACGACTGTGGGTGAGCATGCCAGGATCCTGTTTGGAGCGTCGTGACTCGCTCACTTTTGTGTGAACAACAATGTGTACTCTCTTTCCGCTCTGTTCTTATCTTCTCCACGTTGGTCTCTTTGATTTCGACCCTGCTCCGCTCCTCCCCGTTGCTGCCTCTTCCTGTTTCTATGTCTCACGACTCACATCACTTTCTCTCTCCTCTTCCCCCACCCGTTTCCCGCTTGCCTCCCCCGCTTGCCCCAATGTCTCCCCCTCTCCTATCTAATAGCCCCTTCTCGTGCGTGGTGGAGGGAAAGAGAGGGGGGAGAGGGAGGGGATGAAGAGGGCGAGGGTGAAGGGCAGGACACCAGAGGGAGGGGACGAGGGAGAGGAAGGGGAAGGGGGAGGGGAAGTAGGGGTAGAAGAGGAGGAGGAGACAGAGAAGAGGGGGTGAAGGGGGAGCTGGGAGGAGGCTGAGGGGGAGGTGGGAGGTGAGGGGGCAGAGGGAGGGGAAGCGATGGAGGTGGAGGAGGAGGGGGGGAATGCAGATGGGGGTGATGATGATGATGCTGGAAACGCAGCTGGGGACGCGGCTGCAAATGATGATGACGGCCAAGACCTGCTGAGCCCAACCTCTGCTGGTGCTCCTGATTCCATTGACGGTGTGTCGGAGCCTGCAGATCCCGCAGACGACGCAGAAGCAGAAGCAGACCCAGCAGATGATACCGCCGCTGACGCTGCTGATGAAGCTGATCCTGCTGCTGCTGCCGCTGACCCCGGCGGCAGCAGCAAGGAGCAGGAGAAGCAGCAGCCGTTGGCGCGGCGGCAGCAGCAGGGGCGGTGGAGGGGAGTGGACCCCGTCCTGTTCCTCTCAGACGAGCCCACCATCGCGAGCATCGAGGCCTTCTACGGCGTGCTGCCCGCCTTCCCCCTGCGCTCGCAGCTCATCGTGCGCAGCGACGCGCCGAGTCACAGCAAGCGCATCTACCTCGTGTCGAAGCCGATTGCGCAGGCGATTCGAGCGAATCAAGCTTCGGGGCAGCGGCTTAAGATGGTGTCAACTGGGGTCAAGCTCTTTGTGAGTTGCTTGTTGGGTGTTGGTGCGGTGCTGGTGATGCCGGTGTGTGCATGAGTGAGCGGCCAGCCACAGCAAGCGCATCTACCTGGTGTCGAAGCCCATCGCGCAGGCGATTCGAGCGGACCAGGCTTCGGGGCAGAGGCTTAAAATGGTGTCTACTGATGGCTTAAAATGCTGTCGCTTAAAATGCTGTCTACTGATGGCTCTTTGTGAGTGGGGTGCTGATGGGGTGCTGGTGGGTGGGGTTCACTGAAAGGATGTGGGCTTTTTGTGAGCTTTTTAGGCACAAAAACCCACCTCAAAAGATGCCGTCTGTGTGTTGGACCGTTGGGTCTAATCGAGCCCCAGTTAGCAGCCATGGTTCAATACGTGGCAGCAGAAACTTAGATAAGGCACCCAAGGCAGAAACGCCCACCTCAGAAGATGCCGTCTGTGTGTTATCCCATTGGGTGGGTCTGTGCCGTGATGCTCCCTCCCTGCTTCCCTTTCTCATGCCCCACTCCCTCCCTCTCTCCCCCAAACACCCCCACCCCACCCCACCCCACCCCACCCCACCCCACCCCACCCCACCCCACCCCACCCCACCCCACTCTTCACGCTACCAGGAGCGCCAGAGCACCAAGGACGGTGATGTGCCGTGCTGCTTCCGCCTCTCAGCCAAGCGCCTGCCTGCCTTCCGCTCATCACACGCCAGCTCGTGCACGTGCCCGTCCTCTCTTCTCCCCTGTTCATCTCCACCCTCCCAATCTCACCACATGTCACTCTACCCTTCACTCCTGCTCACCTTTTCCCCTTCCTCCCCTTCCCCCCCCCCACTTCCCCCTTCCCCCACTTTCTCCCGTCTCCCGTCTCCCCCTTCTCTCCCCCCCACCAGGAGCGCCAGAGCACCAAGGACGGAGAGGTGCCGTGCTGCTTCCGCCTGTCAGCCGAGGGCCTGCCCTTCATCCTGCCCTTCATCACGCGCCAGCTCGTGCACGTGCCCCCTCCTCTCTTCTCCTCTATTCATCCCAACCCTCCCAATCCCACTTCACCTCACTCTGCCCTTCACTCCTGCTCACTTTTTCCCCTTCCTCCCCTCCCCCCCGCTCACTTCCCCCTTCCCCCTCCTCCCCCCTCACCAGGAGCGCCAGAGCACCAAGGACGGAGAGGTGCCGTGCTGCTTCCGCCTGTCAGCCGAGGGTCTGCCCTTCATCCTGCCCTTCATCACGCGCCAGCTCGTGCACGTGCCCCCTCTGCCTTTTCTCCCATAACACACCTCACCCCTCCCCCTTCCCCCGTCCTCATTGTTTTCTTCTCCTCCCTTTCCCCCTCCTCTTCTCCCCCTCTTCCCCTCTCTTCCTCTCCTCCACTTCTCCCTACCCGTCTTCACCCTACCAGGAGCGCCAGAGCACCAAGGACGGAGAGGTGCCGTGCTGCTTCCGCCTGTCAGCGGAGGGTCTGCCCTTCATCCTGCCCTTCATCACGCGCCAGCTCGTGCACGTGCCCCCGCGCGACTTCCGCCTGATGCTCTCCAAGCGCTCCATGCTGCTCACAGAGCTCTCCGAGGGGGTGGCTATGGCGCTGGAGGAGGCGGACATGGGCTGTGTGGTACTTGTGCTGGACCCCAAAGGTGCGTTGGTGGTGGGGATGAGAGGGAGAGGGGGGGAGAGGAGAGGGACTTCCGCCTGATGCTCTCCAAGCGCTCCGTGCTGCTCACAGAGCTCTCCGAGGGGGTTGCTAAGGCGCTGGAGGAGGCGGATATGGGCTGTGTGGTGCTCGTGCTGGACCCCAAAGGTGTGTGTTGGTGGGGGTGGGAGAGGGTGGGAGGGGGTGGCAGGGGATGGGAAGGGGTGAGAAAGGCTGGGGAAGGGTGTGGTACTCGTGCTGGACCAAAAGGTGTTTGTTGGATGGGTATCGGGTAGTGCGGGGGGAGTAGGGGCAACTGAATCGACGATGCTGCAGGTTGTGTGTTAAGAACTTTCACGAATCAACCACGGAGTAGGTTTGGGTGGATGTGGGATGAATCCCGGTGGTGGGACGAGTGAAGGGTTGAGATGGGGAGAGGATGAGGGATGAGAACAGAGCTTGGGAAATTTTGTTGGATGAGTCCATTCAGGTGCAACCTGTTGCCGGCTTACCTCTCTGCTCATCATTTCAAGCAGCAAGGAGTGTCAGTGTGTGTAAACATGAGAAGTGTTGCTGCGCACTCTCAGCGAGCCCATCAGCATCTCACCACACCAACTTCCATCTTCTCTCAGCGAGCCAAGCAGCTCTTCAGGTTCCAGTGCAAGGGTACTGTCCCTAGCAACTTGCTACTCATGCCCCTGCTCCGCCCATCATTGCCCTTTTCTTTTCCCCCCTCCTCCCTCCCTCTCTCCAGACACTCCCCAAGGCGAGCAGCAGCAGCAGCAGCAGCAGCGGGGGCAGCTGACGGGCAGGGAGGCGGCGGTGATAGTGTGGCGGGGCAGGCGCAACGTGGGGCTCATGCTGTCCAAGGTGGAGTCCAACCAGATGCTTCACTGGCTCGACCTCCCCGAATATGCCGATGATGACTCCACTGCTGCTGCTGCCGGTGCTGCCGGTGATGCTGCTACTGCTGTTGCTGGTGACGCTCCTGCTGGTGACGCTGCTGCTGGCGGTGCTGCTGCTGCTGCTGCTGCTGATGATGATGCTGCTGCTGCTGCTACTGCAGCTGGTGGCAGTGCGGAGGGGGAGCAAGGAGCAGCAGCACCAGCTGCATGCGGTGATGAGCCTAAGAGCTGAGCTCGAGGCTTTGAGATGCGGTCTGTGCGGCATGTGTTAGTTATCCTATAGGCAGGCAGATGTCTTCCTCTGTAGAAACATGACCCTTCGCCCCATCGCCTCGCCCGTTCAAAACATGCATGCAAGATGCATCCCGCTAGGTGGATATTGTGCGATTCTCTTCATCGTCTTGTCTGCAATGCTTCTGTGCTCCTTTCTGAGTGGTTGGTCATTGGTTCCTAGACTCAAAGGTTCTGTGTGGTGCATACCGTAGGTCTGGAAATGAGGTGTGATGCGATGCACTAGCAATGAGGAGAAAGCGGCAGGTCGTGTGAGATCAATATCAGCATTTCAAAATGTTATACCTGCTGTAATAACGTGTGACTTTGATAAAAAAAATCTGACAGATGTTGGACATTACGAAGTAAAAGTATTATGGGACGCATAATTGTATGCCATTCAGCTTCCCAAGATTATGTGACGCATAATTGGTGCCGCCTAACTTATCTGCTTATTACAGAAATCCCTTCCAAGTATAAATTCCACACTAGTAACGGGCCAAGTGTAACCTCAATTCCCAGCTCGGCTCGAGGGAATGAAAACACCCGTGCCAGTGGTATCTTTCGGCGCCAAGTACCTGGGCGGAAGGTAGGCGCGCGGGCAGTTGGCCACGGGCGCCTGAACCGCCACGGGGAGGTGCTGCCGCTGCTGCGCCCCTTCCGCCATCTGCTGCAGCTGCAGCTGCACCTGTAGCCGCAGGGGGAGTTGCACGCCCGGGGGAAGCGTCACCGCGGGCGCCTGCGGGTGTCCCCAGAACCCAAGCGGGGGAATGATCACACCCGCGGGCTTCTGCGTTTGCGCCTTTTTGCAAGCACCCGCTGCCTCCCCGGACGTTCCGCTTGCGCCGTGTGGGCCGCGCGCGGCGGCGCTTCTGTCTTGCGCGCAGAGGCCAATGGGCGGATACTGCGGGGGGAATGCGCCTGGGCAGGGCCAGTACATGGGGAACGCGCCAGCGCCACCTGATACCGCGAAGCAATAGGGGGGCGGGGAGGAACCTCCGTGGGGGAAGCTTTGCGCAGCCTGCGCGGAGTTTTGCGCGTTGCTGTTGAGTGAAGCGGCACTTGCAGGGGAAGCGGCGGGGGAATTGGAGGCTTGCAAATCGTCTGGAAGCTGCCAGTTGTTGCCTTCCTGCCACGAGGAGGGCCCAGCGGCACCAGCGGGATTCACGGGGACCTTCGACGACTCATCGCTTCTAACCTCGGGCCATAGCGCGCGGCGAGTCACACGACCTTGCGACGAATTAGGGGTCGCACGGGCAGGCGACAGCACAGAGAGCGGCGACAGGCTTCCTGAAGCTGTCGAATACGGCGAGCACAAGAGATCGTCGTCGCTCGCCGCGTCGCTCGCTTCGCTGAGCGACGAGGGGAAGCAGCAGCCGTCGCCGCCAATCCCTGTCGAAGCCGCGTCGTGCGCCGCCGCCTCATCATCCCCAAGATCTTCACTTGATTCGCTGATGCACCGCGGCACGTTGACACGAAGGCCGAAACCGGAAGAGGCGCGCAGCGGCGCCGGCGAGAGGAACGGCGCGGTATTGCCGGGACTGATCCCAGACGGCGCGGCGGCGGTGTTGCTGACGAATCCGCAGCTCGCCATGAAGCTCTCGTCGACGCTGTCGAGCGCGCCAAACAGAGATTCGCGCGAGGTCGGTTGTGAATTATCAAAGTCGCCCGTAGTAGACTCTCCATAGAAGCTCTTCTGAGATATCGAGTTGGACGACATCGTGCAGCGGTTGACGATTTGGAGACGGAGTGCCGGTGTGTATGCTGCTTCAATCGCGACGTGGGATGAGTGAGGCGAGTTAAAAAGTGGTGTGGATTTGCTCGGACGAGCGCGTGACAAGCACTCTGTGGACTAGTGGTCACTGGGCTAGAATTCCTCGTGAAACTCGATAGTGCGCGTCGTGGGGTAGTTCGAGGTTTGACGTGCGGAGGACTGGCGAAACGCGCGAGAGTGCTAGGTTGAGGTGTCGAGAGGAGGAAACTGACGGACGAGAAAACCGAAGAACGAAGCAAGTGAGGCGAGGGAGGATAGAAATCTGCTTGAAGTTATATGAGGGGCTAGTGGTGCGGCTGACCCATACATTTTCCATTAGACCCGAATCGCGCATCCGTGCCCTGCGGGATCGCTCGGCGTGGGTTTGTTTGACCCTGTGTTGGTGTTCCGCCGAGGCAGTCGCATGCGGTGTGGCGACGAGTTCGGCAACCAGCGAGGCTCCGTGCTTGTCGCGGGCAACGACTATTGGTGCATGGGAACTGAGGTTGGGCTCGAAAAACAGTCGTGGGCATCGCATGTGACGCACTTTTGATCCGTGATTGGCTGTTCGAGTTCCCAATAAGAGTGTATATGCGAACTTCAGCGACTACAAAGTCGATATGAACGCGTTTTCTGCACCCGGATTGGTTCAGCTGGCATATGCAATTCGCAAGGCCAACCGCAGCGCAGAAACTTTGCACTGTGCATCAGCACAGAATTCGCTGTACCCAAAAATTACAGCCGACCAGTGAGCGAGAGCCGAGGGCCCTAGCCCGACTTCTGTGGGGAAGTGGCCCCTGTTGGAGCCGAGGCCTGGAGGCTGGCTGGGTCCCGCAGGTGGGGCGGGTCTAGGGTGCGTTGACAGCCAGGTGCCGACAGAAGCGTGGGTTTGGTTTGAATCGAAGCAACCACCTGAGCGCTGTCCGCTGGCCAATCCGTTGAAGAGAACCGCGAACATTCAACAGCCAAGATGTATTTGATTGGTGGTTTCGGTGGAACGCGTTCTTCGAGGAGCGTTACGCGAGCACTAAGAGTGCTTCGATTGAGAACGAGTAACCGTGCATTATTACAGACTCTATTCTCCATCTATCTCTAAAACAATCAATGTCCACTACACACACATTATCACAGCAGCACACATGGAAAATCAATGCTCCGAATGAGTGGCAATCTCAGTGATACCGACATATTGCAATATTAGAGCATCCTAAACCCTAAACTTTTAACACATACCACTCAAACATGCATCTAAAACATTATTCCAGACCATGTGCAGCCTGATCAAACTACTGCACCTACTACCGGTAGCGCATACTGTCAACGATCACTGCATGAACACATCTCATAACGCCAGGCTGCCTTCAAGTTCACAAGTAACGGGGATATGGACATCCCCTATAACACTCCCTGCACCTAAAAGATTCAGGGAATAAACCAAGTGAACTTCTACCCATTACTTGTCTGGTGCCTGAAATCCCTGAAATGCCGACCAGCACTCACGCATTATTACCAAATCAGGCGCCCCCCCCCTAGAAAATCGAAGGCTCCAGAAGCAGGTGCGTGTAGAGCATATCAACCCAGGTGTCGGGAACCCCAGGCAGGCACCAGTGCGTGCAATCCCCACTGAACGGCGGTTCCCCCTGCCCTCCAGGCGACTTGCTTCCCTTGTTCTCCCTCCACTCGTACCACGGCCCCAAGTGCCCATCAGGTCGCACCGCACTCAAGTCAGTGAGTTGAATAAACCGAATGGGTGTACCAGAGAGTGTAGACTTCTGCGCATCCCTGTACTCGTTTGCAGTATCGACTGAATACGAGTACTTTTTCGTGCTGCTGATAGGATACCAGGCTCCACAGGCCCCAATCCAGTCCGTATGGGCTCCCCTCCCCAGCATCACTCCTTTCTGGGGGTTTCCTTTCGCTCCCGAGTGGTTCGGCGAGAACGAGAGAAACATCGGCACGCCCCGGAAATTCATATTCTTGATGGAATTAACCACGGTTGAGAGCCCCCATTGGTGCGCAGCAATGTTCGAAAGGTTCCGCTCCTGCCCGTTCACAAGGAAGATATTCGGCTGCGTGCGGCGTGGCACGTTCTGCAGCCACCACACCCCCGAGGCAAACACCACAACATCGTACTTCCCCAGAACGGACTCTAACCCCGGGTCCATCTTGTCGACGTTGACTTCAAAGGCGTGGCCGCCGCGCTTGGCGGAGTAGGTGGTCTGGCGCTTGGAGTAGACGATGTACTGCGAGTTGTAGTACTCGAGGGAGAAGGAGAAGGCCGGGAAGCGCATGCCCTTGATGCCGTTCGACATGCCGATGTCCACCGTGTACGGCTGGGGGGAGGAGAGAAGGGACGAGGGGGACGATAAGGGACGAGGGGGACGAGGGGGGACGAGGGGGGGAGGGAAGGGGCTTTGATTGGGCTTAGAAGGCAGGGAAGCGCATGCCTTTAATGCCGTTCGACATGCCGATGTCCACTGTGTATGGCTGGGGGGGAGAGACGGATCGCAGAGGGGAGGAGGGAGGGAGGAGGGAGGCTGTTTGTGGTTGAACAGAGCAGGGAGTGAAGGGGGGATCACAAATTGTCATTTCATCGGGTGACGTGTCGCGGCCTCCCACCTTGCGTTCCCATGGCACACTGTAGAAAAATGGGGAACAAGGCGGGGGGGGCGGGCCTATGATTTCTAACCCCTGCGCAACCCCACTCACACCCCGTTTCCTCACCCAACGTTTGTCACAAACGACATAGAATAGCGGCTGACCTGGCCGCTGTACCCGCCCGTGTGGATGGCGCACAGCAGCGCCTCGTGAAAGTTGGACATCATGGAGTCGCCCACCAGCAGCATTTTCTGCGCAAAGGACGCAACGCAAGGGATGGAGCAGGGGAAACGGCGAGGAGTGGGGGTGTTGTGTTGTGTTGCCAGTGAGATGCGTAACGCGCCTCGCGTCACGGGAGCTGGACGTCAGCGAGTCGGTCGCCCAGCAGCAGCATTTTCTGCGCCATGGATTTCGAGTAACGGAGGGACAGCAGGGGGAGCAAAGCGCAGGGGAGAGAGGGTGTGAGAGGTGCGCAGCGGCGCGTGGAAGTTGGTTGGACATCATGGAGTCGCCTGCCCCGCCAGCAGTACTTTCCGCGTGGGGGAACCGGCGGGCGCAGGAAAGGGGACCAGGGAAGAGCGGATGGGGCGAGAGAGGCAAGAAGAGAGAGGCTGGGAGTTGGAGACCCATGGTGGTGTCAAGAAGAGAGCGGGGCTATCATCCTGCTCTGGTGTCATCCTGCTGTGTGAGCAGCGCAGCGCATCCAGAGGCTTGTGGTTGCGGCGAACAACACAATGCGGCGCCGCCCTCCAGTTGCAGTTTTTTTAGAGCGTGACGCGGAGTACGTACGTACATCCGCGCGCGCATGTGTCGTACCGCCGCCATGCGGTCCGCCAGCCGTGCAGCCATCGCACAGCGGAGCGCGCATTGCGCAACCGCGCGCGCATCGTGCAGCCACGCTAATGCAACCGACTGTCGAGCGTCGGGAGACACTGACTACATGTGTCTGCTTCAATTTTACTCAATCTCACGTAAGTTGTTGTTGCTTTTATGATTTTTTCTCTAATATTTATTCTTTTTTTTTTGGAAGGGGGGGGGGGGGGAAGGAAGGGGGGAGGGGGGGGTAGGGGAGAGGAGGGGGGAGGGGAAGCGGGTTAAATTGCACAGGATGCTCTCGATTGCAAGCTATGAAGTCGCCTCTCACTCACCTTGTTCTTCATTATGTACTTGAAACCCGACGGGCTGAAGTACGACAGCGAGCAACCGTACGGCTGCCACCGGAACAGCTTGTAATGCCAGTCGGGCCGGTTGTTACGCTCGCACGAGTACTCGCTCCGTACGTACGGGCACTTGACACGCTTCTGGCCGTCCGTCGTCGTGTAGCGCGGGAAGCGCTTGCCGCCTCGCATCCATAAGCCGTTGGAATAATCGCACTTGGCTGGCCGAACGCGACGCGCATAATAATGTATGGCGGACAAGAAGAGAAACAGAAAGGCCTTGAAACGAGTAATGATTTGGTGGGGGCGGCTTTCGTTGTTAGGGACTTGCAATGGCGGTCGCAGCGGTAATGAACATGTGAGGGCGCCATTAGAAACAGCCTTACTTATGCGAACCACTCGTTTTCGCGATCGCGAAGGAAACGACGGCTCGCTGCAGAGTCGCAAGGAGAGATTGAAAAAAGCATGATAATAAAAAGAAAAGAGATCGCGCAAGAGTAGACTTGCTGCCGCATCACTTACCACTCCTTGGTGGTGGCGCGAGACTCGCCGCGCTGTTGACGAGAGCTATCAGCAGCAAAAGCTGCACTAGCGGGGCCGTCACGGTGAAGCGCCGATGGTTCCCTACCGGAACCATCGTTCTCCGTGAGTAGTCGTGGTTACACGCTCCGGCTAGTGGAAACTCGTGCGACTCTTAAGGTCGGATGTCGCGGAGCACACTTCAAATGCGACGATTAATGCGCAGGAGCGCAGAGGTGGAGTGGAAGACGAGGCTCGATGCGTGGAGGGCATGGGGCGGGTTACGGGTGTGCGTGAGACTGACGCGATTGTGTTGTAACTTCAAAGCCCTCCCAGTTATGGGTTGGTTGGACGGTGGTGTGGGTGGGAAAGGAGAGGGAGAACTACTGTACGGGCGACGATGTCGAGGGAACGAATAACGACGCGGGCTTGGGGAGGGGGAATGCCGTGGGTTGGGTTGGGTGAACTTTTCTGGCTGGGGCGGCTGGTGGTGGGGTGGGTTTGGGATGGGAGGGGAAGTGGCTCGGCCTGTGGGCGATGGGAACTGCAGACGACGCTGAACGAGAACTTGCACGCGGCGGAGGAGATGAGTATGAATGCTGCGCTGCGACTGCTGCGACGCTGACGAGTAAAGGCACACGGAAATAAACTCGCCCTAGGGCGAAAAATGTGAAATTGTGAAGCTGATATACACCACCAGCCATTATATTTCTGACGTCAATTTATGCATAACAGCATCAAAACTTTTAGATGAAAACACGGTCATCCAGAATAGGTCGTGATCAAAACCTAAACAGTTTAGGCAGCAGCCGACTGTACGACCATGTGTGAACAAAGTGCCAATGTGCGATGAGCTTTGACGGCCATGTGCATCGTCCACAGCAGCTTGCGACGCGACAGCTCAGCACAGCTGTCGCGCAAGTTAGGCCGGGTCGCAGCTGCTGCACACACTCTTCAGGTGTTGCTGATTTGGCGAAGTGGCGGCTTCGCAACGTCAACAGAACCCTTGACGCGCCTCGTCTCATCCACCGGTTTCTGTGCTTTTGGGCCACGAGTTTTTCACACTCGCCGCAATCCCATCCCATCACCTTTGACCACACGACTCGGGGATGACCCTTGACAGTTGGGCGGCTGTACTGTACTGTGCAGTAATCGGTGTACTTCAGTGTCATTTTGAACTTTGTGACGAAACGTGAGTTATAACGAGGTTGTCCAAATTCTCCAATCGCCACACAACACCAAAGACACATTACAAACAAGTTCAGTCTGAAACATAAGGCTTCCTGCAAGTGCATGCATATGCTAGAAGTGATATAACTGTGACTAGGGCACATCTCCCATCATAATAATACACCAAACAGCCCCTATGGCTCATACTTTCTAGGAAAACCAGCTGTAATGCCTATCGAGAGTCCACTGGGCGAAGTGGAGCGGTTGGGTGCGCGGGGAGAGGGGTGCAGAGGTTTGCGGCGGGCTGCGTCGGCCTTGGCTAGGCCCACAAGGTCAGGCGGCTTGGCAGCCACAAGCAGTACAATCCCAAAGAGAATTAAGGCCCTGTTTCAGGAGCAGGTTGGGGAGACGGATACCGGAGAATACGAGAAATGGGAGAGATGGGCATGGGACGGTTGAAAGGATAGGAAGGATGGGAGGGAGCATAAAATGGGGTTTAACTGAGAGTGTAACGGTGAGCTTGTGAACTCTCTGTCAAAATGTGATGGTTGTCTAGCCTGCAGTGGGGTACTCTATAGCGAGTACAGCCCTTCTAGGGTTTGCATATATGTATCCCTATGCTTGTTAGTCAAAACCCTTCTTGCCTGTTTCTCGTTTTGGCCTAGCATTTTGACATGCTATCAGAGCGGGTCGACCCTCCTGGGTCGATCCTGTGGGTGGTCCCACCAGAAGCTTCCGCTGTTGTTTCCTGCTGTTTCCTGCCTGCCGCGCGCTCCGGGCGCGCAGCGATTTTTTCTTCCCGCCGCGCGCCCGGGGCGCGCGGCGGTTTTCTGCCCCGTCACTCGGCGCGTCGCCCCCGGGAGGCGCTGCGACGGGCGACGGGGACCCGCGCGTCGCCCCCCGTCGCCCGTCGTGGCCTGCGCGCGGCCCGTACAGCCGGCGCGCGGCCCGTACGGGAAGCGCCAGGCCCGCGCGCGGCTCGGGCCGCCTGCGCGCGGTTCGGGCGGCTATGCCAGGCCCGTGGGCGGCCCGTTCCTCGCTGCCCCTGCCCTCCCCACTGTCCCCCGTGCTTCTACTGGCGCCCCACCCCTCCTACAGCCCGTTCTCCTGAATTAGGGTTTGGGGGTGAGGGGTATGGGGGTGAAGCCACTGAGTGCCGTTCCCCTCCTCCTCCTTCTCCGTCTCCCACTGCTGCAGCTGCCGCTGAGGGGGGTGGGTGTGTGGGAGCCGAGGGAGTGGCGCTAGGGGGTGTAGTGTGAGCGGTGCTAGGGGAACAGCAGGGGGTGTGTAAAAAGGGGGTGGGACAGCTGGGGGAAGTTGAGAGGAGGCCGTCGACTTGTCGTCCGCAGCGCCTGAAGTCCAGGGAGCCACGACCCCCTGTGGCCTGAGTAGTCCGGGGCTCTGCGCCCGGTAGCTACAGTGTGTGCACTCCTGGGAGCACAGCGAGCCAGCTGCGACCCCCTGTCGCCGTGTAGTCCGGGTTTAGCCTGGTAGCGTCAGTGCGGCGTACTCCTGCTGCCTGTGTGTCTGCAGCTTCAGCCGTCGCCTCTCATCTTCTTGCTCCCACAGTTTTCTCCTCCTCCTCACTTGCCCTCTGTGATAGCCTCTAGCTTTGCTTATAATTGTGAACTATTGCTCTGTCTGCTTGTTATGTTGATTGTACCCCACTTTGACTATGGGGGTGTGTCAGAATGTGATGGTTGTCTAGCCTGCAGTGGGGTACTCTATAGCGAGTACAGCCCTTCTAGGGTTTGCATATATGTATCCCTATGCTTGTTAGTCAAAACCCTTCTTGCCTGTTTCTCGTTTTGGCCTAGCATTTTGACACTCTCTCCCTCTCTCTCATGCAGTAGAGAGCAGGTGCAATGAGTGGAGTCTGCACGGTGGAAGAAGGCATTCAGGGAAGTGCGAACGGAGAAGGCAAATGAGGAGAGAAGGAGCAGAGATGACATGAATGCGGAAACGCCTTGCACAGTCACTCACAGGCACACATCCATAATCTTGTGAGGGGCTTTGAGGTGTCTCAAAAGTCACTAACAGGCACACTTCCAGGGTTCGCTATGGGGCTTTGAGCCGCCTCAAAGGTCACTCACAGCCAGACTTCCATGGTCTGCTATGGGGCTTCCCATCCCAGCTCCGAGAAGGTTCAACCCAGCTCAAATCCAACACAAATAGACAAAGGCGTAGAAAATCAATATTAAGTCGAGCTCACCAGCCGAAGAAGAGCCACATGTGCAGGCGCACATTGGCAGGGAGGTTCAGGACGACCCAAGGCACTAAAGCCAGCAAAAGAAAGGACTTTTTGGAGGAGAGCACCTTTCAGAGGAACGCAAACCTATGATTGAAGGACTAGGGCCCGTTGAGGCAGAGAAAGAGAGCTCACCAGCCAAGGAAGCGCCACATGCGCAGGCGCACATTGGCAGGGAGGTTTAAGACGACTCAATCTCTAATACCAAAGCAAGTGGAGGATTAGGGCCCCTTGAGGCAGGCAGAGAGCTTACCAGCCTAGGAAGCGCCACATGCGCAGGCGCGCATTGGCAGGGAGGTTTGGGACTTGTCAACACACCGACGGCAGCAAAGGCACCCCTCAGAGGATAGGACCCTCAGAGGATAGGAATCTTAGGGCTCACCAGCCGAGGAATCGCCACATGCGCAGGCGCGCGTTGGCAGGGAGGTCCTCCCCCAGGCCTGCCATGCCCGCTGCTACAGCCGTGAGCATGGCTGCTACAGCCGCACATGTGGACACCACCACTGCCCGCCCCTCCTTAAAACCCCGCGTCTGATGGGGTGGGGAATGGAGGGAGAGGGGGGTGGGGAGGATGGAGGGCTTTGGCGGGTTGAGGGAAGGGAGGGTGCAAGTGCGGGGATGTGTAAGTGCCAGCTACATGCCATGCCCCACCACACGCCATGCCCCACCACACGCCATGCCCCACCACACGCCACCCCCCACCACACTAACCTGGCAGAAAAACCCGAAGCTGCTGAGACTGACGCCCACGGCAATCCCAAGGAGAGCAAAGACAGGCGGGCCTCCTGTTGCCAGCAACATGCCCGTCTTGACTGCTGCTGCTGACAGCCTGATGTGCGGTGAGGGATTGTGGTGAGGGATTGTGGTGAGAGATGGTGGTGAGGGGTAGTGGTGAGGGGTAGTGGTGAGGGGTAGTGGTGAGGGATAGTGGTGAGGGATAGTGCATGGTGGGTCAAGAGAGGTGGGGGGAGATAGAGAAGGGCGTTGCAGAGGGGAGCAAGGGCAGCAGGTACGTGGCAAGGCAAGTGGGATGCGCCAGAGCGAGGAGAGTGGGAGGGACGATGAAGCAAGCAAACACGATTGCTTCAGCAACGCGCTTGCTTCCAAAAATCAGTTTCCATTCCAGAAAGAGGCAAGACAAGATCAGAAAAACAGGGAAGCAACGCAATCAGAGCATGAGCAGCAGCAGCAGCAGCAGCAGCGAGACATGAGCGTATGTGCACGCCCTGCCCTGGCAGCCCACCCAAAGGATACCTCATACGCTCATGTGACTAGGCCATTCAGCCAAGCAGGGAAAGCAGGGACAAGCAACCAAAGTGCGGGCGACAGCAGCGAGAGAACCAGTGTGTGTTTGTACCCTCCGGAACTGGGTGGAAGCAAGCAGGCAGGCATACCCATCCCCCTCCCTCCCCCACCCCCCCACTCAAAAAAGGCACTCTCTTGTGTCCCTGCTGCCAACTCCTTCACCACATCGCTGCAGCGCGCCCTGGCATGGTACTGCAAGAACCCATCTGCACCGCGCTGCATATCTCCCCAAATGTGTCATTCTTCTTCCGTCCCTTCCCTTCCACTCAATGGGATACATCATGCACCTACCCAAAAAAGGCACCGGCTTGTGTCCCTGCTGCTAGCTCCTCCACCACATCTGCTCCTAAAGCGCCCTGCTGGGGAAGAATCGCATGGGCGGTATGATGGCATGATGCACGATGGCATGATGCACGATGGCATGATGGCATGATGGCGGGTGTGTAAAGGAGGCATGAGAAGAATGTTAATGTGTAGTTCGGAACAGGAAAGGAGAAATGCTAGCGCTGAGACATCTGCGTGAGTGTTTAAGGGACATGAGAAGGAGGAGGAGGTATACTGCGCTGCTGCCACTTATGCTGCTTCTTCTAGATTGAATGAAGTGATCAGGGAGAGTCAAACGAATGCAGGGAAAATGGAAGGAAGGTTGAGAAAAGAGCCGGATGAGAAGTTGGGTTAGGAGGTCTGAGGAGGAGAGAGTGTAAGTAGGTGTGAGGAGAGAGTGTGAAAGGCTGTGAAGGGAGAGGGGAGTGGATGCGAGACGTACAGAGGAGAGGGGAGGGTCTTTGACTTTCCGCTTGGCCTTGCTTGCTGTGGCACACCACTCTAACACTACCTGCCATGCAGGCTCACACATGCACACATGCACACGAACACACACACACACACACACACACATGCACACATGCATGCACACACAACGTCACATGCATGCACACAAAAATTGACAACATGCGTGCAACCCCACACATGGATGCATGCATACATGCATGCACACAAACGCACATATGCAAGAACAGACATGCACACATTGATGCATGCACACATGCGCACGCACGCACACACACGGATGCGGGAAGAATTGGACGACTAAGAAAAGAGATTCTCGGCAGACAGATGGCAAGAGAGAGAGTGAGGGTGTTGAGGGAAAAGAGGAGGGCCAGGAAAAGGCGAGGTGCGGGAAGGAGGGAAGGCACGGGTTCAGAGTGGATGGCTTTTCCAATAGGCGAGTTGGAAAGTGCAGGTTACCAATGAAGCAGGCGAGATCGAAAGAGGTTGCAGAGAAAGCAGTCAAGGGAAACGAGAGGGAAAGAGAGTGGGCAAGAGAGCAACGTGCGAGAGAGCAGTAGGGAAAGAGAGTGGGGGAGTGAGCAAGAGGGGAGAGAGAGCAAGGGAGAGATCAGCGAGAGAATGTGTGCGTCATCAAAAGCCCCTCTCACCATGCGCCCCTCTCACCATGCGCCCCTCTCACCATGAGTAGCACGACCCAAAAGACAAACGCCATGAGGTGCCGCAGGGAGAGTTGGGGAGGCGGGGCGGACGGCAAAGGGTTCTCAGATGAGACACCCACCGCTGGGGTCAATGCGAGACAGGGGGGGTTCGGATGGAGGGTTGAGAAGGAAAGTAATGGGGTGTTGAAGAGCAGGGTAGTTGAGGGGTGAAGAGAGGGAGGTGGTGGGCAGCTGGGCAGCAGAAGAGACTCAAGGTAGCCTCTCGTTGCAGCAGTGCGAAGTTGCTATCTGGAAATCTCAACTACTCTAAATTGCTGCTCATCACCTCACACACCCGGGGCCCCAGCAGCACAAGCGGCTTCAAGGGCTTTAATTCACTCGCTCCTGTGTCTGTGTACATGCTCAAGGGCTGCCTGTTGCGAATCATATCATGGCGCTGCCCCATGGATGCAGGGCAGCATGCCAGTCCAGATTCCAGAACAGACCTGGTGTTGATATCAGGCTCGGCGCCTGGTGTTGATTGTTTCCTTGCCTCACACCACACCTCACCTCACAGTGTGGAACGCTTCCGTCCGGCCTGCCTTGGCTTCCCCCTAGCCTCCTGGCACCCCCAAGGGTCTCTCGCTCACTGACGGTGCCGAGGATGCAGAGCAGGACAGGGCGCCAGTCCAGGACAGTGCTCTGTGTGAACTCAAGGGCCGTGTGTCTCCGCACTTCAACGCCTCACTTTATGGCACTTCTCTCCCCTCTGGCTTCCCTCTCACCCCACCTAGACCCCAGACCAGTCCCCCCAGCGTCCATCTTTCACCGACAGTGCCGAGGATGCAGAGCAGGATGCCGGCCCAGTCGGCCAGGCCAGACGCATGGGCTTCCTTAACCCCACTCACTCTACGGGAATTCTCCTCCCTGCCTTCTTATTGAACCGCACCACACCCCCACCCCCTTCCCCACGTTGCTCACCAACGGTGCCGAGGATGCAGAGCAGGATGCCGGCCCAGTCGGCGAGGCACATGGGCTCGTGCAGGTAGAGGTGCGAGAAGAGTGCCATGAGAGCCAGCCCTGACGTTGACACCGGCTGCACTATGGATACCTGCGATGGAGGGGAAGAAGGGAGGGGGGATGTTGTGTGGGGGTGGGGAGGAGGTTGATGAGGGCAAATGTGGGGAGGGGGATGAGAGGGAGATGGGCGGAAAGAATGGAATTGGAGGGTTGGATTGGGGGGAGATGGGTCACTGGGAGGAGAGAAGCAGAGCACATGGGCTCGTGCAGGTAAGGTACGAGAAGAGTACCATGAGGGCCTGACCATGACACCGGGTGCACTATGGATTCGAGAAGGAAAAGGGCATGACGGAAGGGGGGAGGCGAGGGGCGGGACAAAGGAGAGTAGGGTGAGAAGGGGAGGGTAGTGTGGGGAGGATGATAGGTGCAGGAAAGAGAGGGAGATGGCAGCAGAAACATAGATGACACGCATGCAGTCTGGGAGTTCCGGGGGGAAGAGGGAGGGTATGTCAAGAGGGGAGAGGGATGAAGGGGGAAAAGGGAGGGAATCTGGGAGGGGAGAAGGGGAGTGGAAGACAACCAGTGCAATGGGTCTGATTTAAGGACGTAATGCGTGAGTATGGGGTGATGTAAGCATGAGAGAAGGAGAAGCAGACCCCAAACTCCAAGCAACCAAATAACCCCTGACCTGAGTCATCTCTCCCTGCCCACACCAATACGTCAATTAGCACATTTCATCCTCCTCTCATCCCCCTTCTGGTCCTTTTCCCCTCCAGCCCCTCCCCACCCCGTTTCCCCTCTCCCCCAGCCCCTTCTCCCCTCTCCCCTCTTGCCCTCTCCCGCCCGCTCCCCCTCCCCCCTTCGCTCCCCTAGCCTCACAGGAGCGGAGGCGACGGCTTGCAACATGAGCAGCCCACCACCCACGTCAATGACCAGCCCCGCAATCTCTTCCCTCCCCGACCATTCCTCCCCCAGTTCCCCCGCTCTCCCCGCTCTCCCCATTGCTCCCCCCCCCCCCCCCCCCCTCGCCCCCCTAGCCTCACAGGAGCGGAAGCCACGGCTTGCAGCATGAGCAGCCCACCGCCCACGTCAATGACCAGCCCCGCCACCCACAGGGGGCTGCGCAGGTACGTCCATAGCACCTGCCGAGGGGGGGGAGAGGGGGAGGGGAAAGAGGGGGAGTGGGGCGAGGCGAGCTATGAGAGATGAGGGGATGAGAAGGAACGTGAGTAGAGAGAATGGGGTTCGCGGAAGTTTTAGGATCCGTTAGATGCAAGTTGCCACGTCAATAACGGGTATGGGGATGTGTGGCCTGCACGCAGGAGCGTGGGACGGCGGGAAAGAAGGGGGAAAAGTGGGGGGAGAGGATTGGGCGGGCGGGTGGCGGAGGGGAGAAAGGGCGGAAGGGTGGAGTAGGAGGCAAGGCAAGCTTGTTGACGAAAGTAATGGAGTGAAGAGAATGATAATGAGAAACAGATGTCATTGTTCGCGTGGCGAGGGCATGCAGGCTGAGATATGACGAGCGAGTGAGAGAGGACGACAGGGAGGAGCGTGAGAGAGGGAAAGAGAGCAGTGCAGATGTGACGGGAACTTGCAGGAAATCTCAAGGAAAGGCATACAGCTGGTGGGGCGTGGGGCATGGGGCATGGGGTCATGTGAAGGAAGGCGCAAATGGAGACATGGAGAGGGCGAGATTAGGTGGGAGTGGCAGCAGCGAGCAGCGAGCAGCGAGCAGCGAGCAGCACCTTGGATTCGAGCGTGAGTCGCGGAAGGCTCCTCGTGGCCTGCTTCTGCAGCACCTTGCCGATGTTGTTGCCGCTCGACGCTGCCACCGCCGCAATCACCGCCAACCACATCGCAAGGACACGTGGACAGTGACAAGTGGGCTGCGACACGTGAACCGCGGACCGCGGTAGGCGATGCCTGACAGAGACCTAAAACAGCGAAACTCGGAAGGCGCGTCGGTTAGTGAGGCGCCTCCTCAAAAATCGACTCGGGAGGCGCGTCGGTAAACTACCCTTCTGCGTGCTGCCTCCTACCCCCTGCCTCTTGCCTCTACCCTAATTTCGAGCCTCACGACTGATTTGGCTGAGACTAACGGCGTTAGTTACGACGGTACAGCTGTAACGTAAGGATAAGGGTTTCTAGGGAACGACGAAAGGGAGGGGGGAAGGGCAGGCTGGTCAATCCCCCCCGATAACAAAGCAGCGGAAACCCTAATCGTGTAGAACCATGAACGCAGATCGGGAAACCAGAGGCTCGTTCTGCACACGCGTGACGTGGCCGATTGGTTATTGCCCGTGCATTGGAGGGCTGAGTGGAGGGTAGGGAGAGACGAAACTGTCCGATACTACAAATGCGGCGTCCTTGGGAATGGCTGGAAGGCCATTCGGGTGCTAATCACGTTTCGCTACGCCGGTAATGCAATTCGCCATTCACGGCCACTCCATCGCGTGTCGATTAGGAGGAGCTTGTGAGATTAGTTGAAAAAGGACCAGAACTAGTGCCAGAGTGTGAGCCAAAATCTAAGAGCCTAGCGGGGACAGCTGCACTTGTGGAACAGGGCAACGGACATTGCCGCTATTTGGGATGTTTAGGGTTACAATGTCAAGGGCAGAATACACGTTGCACCCACACATATTGTTAGGACTAAATTAAAAAACGACTGAACGAACTTCAAGAATTGTCTTGTGGTAGTGCCGAACATTTAAATGCTAGTGAATGATTAGGGTTATTACAAGGTGGCGCCTTAGAGCTGACCTGAGGCAACGCATAGTCTTCATTAGACCAAGGCCCCCTGTCTACCCTTCTAAGCAGACCCTTCAAACATAGTGACTTGTGTTATGACCCCGTCTAGACCCTTGTCCACTTAGACTGTCTTTGCCATTCTACACACTAGCTTATTGTGCTCTCCATCTAGCATTCATGCAATGCACACGAAGAGACAGTCACACAGGCTGAATCATCCAGAAATTCGCCTCTTCAGGTTTGAACCAGATGCTGAAGCGCATTCCCAGCTACATTCTCGAGAAGACCGGCGGTTTGCGCGTGCCGAGTGCCTTCACAACGGCAGCCAGATCGTCTGAGAGCAGCATGGCGGCGTTCCACGTAGCTACGTATTCCAGCCCATCCGCCACGCTATGATCGCGCGCATGCCGCAGCACGGCCTTCGTTCCCGTCACTGCCAGCGGCGACTTGCCAGCAATCGCCTCTGCTACGCTCTGGACGTGATCCATAAGCTCGCGCTGCGATGGAAACACGCTTTGAACCAATCCCAGCCGCAGCGCCTCTTCCGCGTTGATTGTTTGAGCCGTGAGCGCGAGGTGCATGGCGTTGCCGTAGCCGATGAGCCGCGGGAGGCGCTGCAACGTGCCAAGGTCGGCAGTGATCGCCAAGTCGACCTCTTTCACCGCGAATCGCGCGTCAGCGCTCGCAAACCGGAGGTCGCACGCCGTCGCAAGGTCCACTCCGCCGCCTATACACACGCCGTGAATCGCGGCGATCACAGGCTTTCGACATCGCTCAAGAGAGGACAGTGATTCTTGCATGGAGAAAATTTGACGACGGAACGATTCGCGCTTCCTTCCCTCGCACTTTTTTTCACTGGTTGACGACCCTAGCGCCGAAGCGATTTGCGAAAGCGTCTGAAGGTCTAATCCTGCGCAAAAGTGCTTCCCTTCGCCTGAGATGACTATAACGCGTACGGAAGGATCGTCGTCTGCAGACGCGACTGCCAGCGGGAGCTCTTTGAACATGTCCAGGTTTATCGCGTTTGATGCATGAGGCCTGATCAGTCTTAGATGAGCCACGCCACGCGGATCAACGTTCAGAGACAGGGAGGTGAAGCTAGCAGCCGCCATGCCTGAAGCTGGCAGTATGTCGGGATAGATTGGAAATATACAAGGCTTTGTAGGGCTTTGCAGACTTCGGGATTGGGGGTGGTTTGCTGGCTTCACGCCGTGGAACTCCTCGGCACGCCGCTGTTTGCACCACGGCTGCTGGGGCGTGCCGGGGCGTGCCTGTGCGTGGACCAAAGCAATGGTGACTCGTGGTACAGAACGTTTTTGAACGTTTTTGACACAGGGCTTGCCGACGCGTTTGCAGACTTCGTTGCCTTTCCAGGCGGGTGAGAGTTTGGGGAGGTTAAATTTGTTTTTCTGGTCGTAACCAGTTTATAAGGGGTATCCACTCCTAGATGAGCACGTGCTAACCCCTACTTGGGGCTGGCAGAACACGCCTGCACGGGGGTGGGTTCGATCCCAGGACCTCATCTATCGGAAGTGCCTCTTTCTACTGACTAGGCCACTTCGGGATGGGTGAGAGTTTGGGGAGGGAATGACGGAGCGCCCTGGTTTCGGGTTTCCGATTCCTTTAGGCAGCGGTTTTGACACCGCCTTGCTTCGCGCTCGCGTCCGATACCTTCGGTCGGTAAATTACGCTATTAGGTCATTTGGAGTCCAGAAATTACAACTTCGTTTGATTTATTAGGAAAGAAAAAAAAACCCTCATGGGGGGGATGCCATTTGGGAGGCATCAACCCTAAACACCATGAGGCAAGGTGTTTAGGGTTGATGCCTCCCTAATGGCCAGCCCTCCGAAAGGGGTTTATTTTTTTTCCACTGGCCACTAGACCAATATCAGGTAAACTTCATAATTTTCCTGGTCACAGGAAACTGGAAATGTCAAAATCAGCTGCCCATTGGTATCGGACGCGAGCGGAAAAGCGAGGCGGTGTCAAAGCCACTGCCCAAAAAAAATCGGAAACTCGAAACCGGGGCGGTCCGTCATTTCCTCGAGTTTGGGCCTTTTCATGTGCGATCTCTGATCTTGAAGTGGCCCAGCGAGTAGCTGGTTTACTTCCAAAAGATGAGGTCCCGGGATCAAATCCCCCCTGAGGCGTATTCTGCCAGCCCCCAAAAGGGGCTACACAGGTGCCCATCTAGGAGTGGATAGAACAACCTCGTTGACCCAGCGAGGAGTGTAAACAAATGGGGAGGCGGGTTACGACCGACAGCCAGGTGTGGGTAACACCCAGAGGGGTTCCCCCCCCCCCTCCTTTACCTATACCATCAGGTGCGATCTCTGCGGGAATGTGTTCAGGTGGGATGCCAGCACATCCTTCCAAATCATGCGGACTGTACACATGCGCCAGAACATAGCCTTGAAAAGATGTGCCAACAAATCTGTACTCGCTAGGGATTAATGTGTTCACGCACATGTCGTTTACCGAGGCTACCAGGAATTGCTAAGACATACCCAAAAGAAAAAAAAATAAAAACTAAAAGCTTTAGTGACCTTGGACGCATTTTTGGAAGATCAACCCTAAGCACTTGAACATCCTAGAGTTTAGGGTTGATGCCTCTGCAAGGTTTCTTAAAAAAAAAAAAAAAAAAAAAAAGAATGGAACGGAATTGGCTCGGAAAGTATTCACTAAACACCAGATGGGTTCCCGTAAACAGGGTTGATCCCTTCCGAAAATGCTTCCATGTTCTATACGGGTTTTATTTTGTTTGATTTAGGTGGCCTTAATAACTTCGGGTAGTTTGATCTGGCAATGTTGTCTGTTTGATTTCCGTCAGATGTGTCAGAGACAATAAAATCCGTTAACTAGAACTAGAATGTGTTAGAATGTGTCAGATGTGAGTGGCGGGTCTACGCAAGGCTCTGTTACGGCACGTGTATACAGTGTCGTGTCAGAGGTCCACTGGTGATCCCCGATTGATCCTAGGGAAGGGTTACAGGCACGTTGGCCTGGGGGGTTATGGGCGCACTCACCCGCTACACAAACAAGCCCTTTTATCCCAGTGGTTAGTGACTGGGATTCTGACATGGTATCAGAGCGAAGGTCTCGGGTTCGAATCCCGGTGTGTGCACCTCGGGCATCCCAGTGCGAGGGGGTGTCAGAGGTCCACTGGTGATCCCCGATTGATCCTAGGGAAGGGTTACAGGCACGTTGGCCTGGGGGGTTATGGGCGCACTCACCCGCTACACAAACAAGCTCTTTTATCCCAGTGGTTAGTGACTGGGATTCTGACATGTCGTAACAGATCGGGATCTCACCTGAAGCTGCACTACAAGGAAGCTGCACCTGACACTTAGCTGTAGCTTACCGGAGATTGACGCACGCTTAGTTGACGCCACACCATTAGCTATATGGTAGACGGTTGAGAGAGTGAAAATCCGCTACAGGGGGAACTTGGGGTTTACATAAGAAATGTTCGCGACGACATTGGATGCGCACGACATTTTACTGTGATGTGATTGGCTGAGACGCTACAAGCCTCGAATTGACTGCACGACAAGCAGCTGGACTGTGCGAAATGATGGTAACTGGGCCGCGCTACCACGCTGGTGGTCGCCTGAGTCTTCAATGGTCCACGTCAACGCCATCATGATGAAAGGGGCTGTTGCCGCTGGAGCTGCCGTGTACGGAGTTGATAATACGGGAGTGGGAAAGGTTGAGGAGCCAAGCGATTGTCATAAACTGCTAGCAGCGGTACCGCTCGAACAGCAGGAAGTACTAAAACGGTTTCCGGGAATTTTCCTCGATGACTTACAGAAGGGACCGCCACCTGAGCGAGCACATGATCACTACATAGAGTCAGAGCCGGAGCGGGGAGCACAACCAAATGTAAAACGCCAGTTTCGACTAACACAGGCTGAGCTAGACGAACTCAAGAAGCAGTAATCTACTAGAGAGAAAATTCATTCGACCAAGTTCATCACCGTTTGCCGCACCGATACTGACCGAAAGAAGACGGAGGTTTTCGCATTTGTCTTGACAGCCGCGCACTGAACAGGGTAACGGTCAAAACGCGATACCTTATTGTCAGAATCCCAGTCACTAACCACTGGGATAAAAGGGCTTGTTTGTGTAGCGGGTGAGTGCGCCCATAACCCCCCAGGCCAACATGCCTGTAACCCTTCCCTAGGATCATCGGGGATCTCCAGTGGACCTCTGACAACCCCCCGCACTGGGATGCCCGAGGTGCACACACCGGGATTCGAACCCGAGACCTTCGCTCTGATACCATGTCAGAATCCCAGTCACTAACCACTGGGATAAAAGGGCTTGTTTGTGTAGCGGGTGAGTGCGCCCATAACCCCCCAGGCCAACATGCCTGTAACCCTTCCCTAGGATCATCGGGGATCTCCAGTGGACCTCTGACACTTATTCCCCACGCCGACGAACTAATCGACCGACAAGGAAAAGCCTGGGTTATATTACGGAAATTAACCTACGTAGCGGTTACCACCATATTCGAATCGAACAGACTAACTGTGCCAAGACAGCCTTAGAACTAGGTACGGGTCATACGAATACACTGTGGTATCGCTTGTGCAGACCAACGCGCCAGCAACATTTCAGATGACCTTGGTTGATCCGTTCGACCGCTTTTAGATAATTGTATGATTAATTACCTCGACAACGTCCTAGTTTACAGCCATGACAAGCAGCAGCACTTAATGGGTCTAGAAGCAGTCATAAAAGGAAATTTCAAATACGTATTTTATTACTTTTCCAACATTCCCAAAATTCTGTAACTTTATTAATAATCTGTTATTTTTTATATATCATTTCTTTATTGTTTCAGATCATCGCGCATCTGTTCCTAATTAAAGTATTAATTAACGTAAAAAAGTGATATTTTCAAGAAAAAACTTAAAAGTTCACGGTTTAGAAAAAAACATCATTGAAGAAATCTCGCAAGGAAAAGGGAATAAAATATCTTAATTTGATTAATCTTGAAAAACTTAAAGAACAGGCGGCTACTATTGAAAAATTCCAAGAGCATATTTTTTAGGACAGGTTAGATTTTTTGGGGCACGCTATTTCGACGAAACTTTTGGGGAGATAACAACTACAACTTGAGCTAGATCACGGGAAAGGCACGGGTGTATGAGATATCGTAATGTTCTTTAGTCGTTTGCTTCTGTTCACTCCACTTGCTCACTTACGGGTAGATTCCGGCAAGAGTTTCACTAACAAAGGTTCACAACAATGATTGACCTTACTACATCACGAGCAAGCATGCAAGCAGGTCGACTGCTAGCGCAGCACTGTCGACCGCGTTCCAGCACGACAAGGTCGACCGCGCTCCAGCAAAGTGGCGGTCAGCTACCACTGCAAGTTGACAGAGTTTCACCGCTGCAGCAAGGTGGATGCACAACGATGCACCCGCTTTGTAGGTGCTCGCAGCTGGTTGGCATGCTGTGCTTTGCCACGTGCACATCGCAAACGCCAAGTAGACCACGTGCCTACAATTGCACTTGATCCGCCCACGTGACCTCGGGATACCACCTCCGAGGTCTGCTTCGCTAAAACCAC